GGCTGTTACTTTAAAGGGTAGCCCAGTTTGTTAGAATAGATAGGGCTTCCAACCACTCTCCACTCATCTGGGAAATAGCAACTTCAGCATATGCTTTGGTGACGAAGGAGACATTCCGGTCACTTTATGAATGGAGAATGTGAGGATATAAGACAAGTCTCCAATAAGAGAATTTGGCCAAAGGGTGTGAGGGCCAATATAAATTGTGCTGTAGAATCGTACGGAATCAGGTAGACAACAAATGTAAGGTAGGGGGAGAAAAAATCGCGGTTTCCGGGTGTTTCCTGAAGACGTGGTTTTTTTGGAGGGGGGGGGGGGGGCTCCCCGGGGTAGAATATCAATCGGGAGTGGAGGGTTCTTTCTAAAGACGTTGGTACATTTCCCTAGGAAAGCGAGAGAGAGGGGGGGGGGGGAGGGGTTCCGTGGTATTTGATGGCGCTCGTGCTCCCAGACTGTGTTCCATTCGTCCAACACCCTACCCCGGGGTCGTGCTGCACAACCTTGACCCCCCTGCTGCCCCGCTTTCCCGCCTCGTCCATTGTTGTGCGCGCAACATCAGCCTCGTCGACGCCGCTTCTGCAGCTCTCGCCGGCCGCTTCCGCGACATGTCGCTCGAGTTGGAGCTGCCAGAGCCGGACCAAGTGATCGATCGCCTGTTCGGCACGCTGAGCGACCAGCTACGCAAGGTGGGCAGAGCGGCAGATTACACTGCTGTCGTGTGTATTGCGTTAGCTGCGCCCAGCGCGCCAGCTGCAGCGATGCAAGTAACGGTGACAATAGCTTGGGGTCCTGAGTCAACCGTCCCTGTGGGCGCTTCGCAGAACAATGCTGTCATCCGTTGGTCCGAGGTATCCTTTGCAAGCATACATGTATTGAGCAAACACGTCCGCCGCCCCACGCCACCCCAAGCTGGCCAACGGGTACCTCGTCGGGCAATATTGGCGTGGTACAGCAGTACAATGGAAATACAAGCGTGTAGCACTTGGGAGGCCCGATTGTGTAACTGCTCGTCTGCTATTGGGTGGTTCGTTGCGTGGTAGGCGCGTGGAAAGGCAAGTCGTGTTTTTGTTCTCTCTTGTGTGTTCTCTCGGTCTTTATCCCTGTCTTTGTTTTCTCTCTGTCCCCCTGTCCTTGGCTTCTGCATTTCGGACACCGGCTTGCTTCCGTATACTACTCCTGTAGAGATTTTTGTTAATAAGAACCCTTTATTTATAATTAATTATTATCGTCCCGCCGATCGCGCCTGCCTGCCTCCCCGTCGCTCCGTCCGCTATCTGTCGCCCTCGGACGCCCTTTCCTCTGCT